CCAGCCCAGGGGGCCACACAGGCTCCCAGACACAGCCTGGGCACACCCAACCTTCAGCAGCCCATGCAGAGCAGCAGCACTCAGGTAAGTGGGAGATGCCCTGCTCTGCTTGCCAATTTAAACAAATACAGATGGGAATTTCTGGCAGAACTGGCTGCTCCACGATCCCAGAGTGTTCTGTGAAGAAGAACCAGCCCTGCTCAGCCTCACTGAGGGCACAGAGCTCTGCACAGCCCAGCCCCTCACACGCTGCCAGGCGGTGCTGCAGCTCCATCTAGCAGGGAATCACAACATTCCAGGCAAAGGCAGCCACCTGGAACTCTCTTCTTTAAGGTTCAGAGACCCAATGTCACTGCAGATCTCCTTTGTTTTCAATTCATTTGCCATAAGAGTCAGCAGAGCACAGAATTCACTGCACACAAGTGCAGCAGCAAATAAGGACTGGGGTGGGAAAAACCATCTTTGCTCTGACCCAGCAAAGATGGCACAAAGAGGGAAACTGAAGTGAAAAGTAAAAACCATCCAAGCAAAAAGGACATGCTGAGAAGGAAAGAAGCAACCACTCCTTTTCCATGCTGCTGTGAGGATGTTAAAGATTCTGTTTAACTTGTACCTTATCCTCTGTGCCATGGAGAGGGGAGCACAGTAAGTGAAGTCCATAATAGGCCAGCTCAGGAATGTACTTGGCTTTATTAACATCCCTAAGGAAAGAAAGCAAAGAGATGTCTTCACCTCTCATCAGAGTAAATGTGACTGTTAAAAGAGCTCTTTGACTGTGAAACATTCAATATTCACAAGATGCTCTTTGCTGTCAGCACGTGGAACACATTCCAATTATCTTTATAAGAGAATTTGTCACTTTCATTTTTATACAAACAGGACAATAACACAAGCACTGATGGCTTTACTTGTTCAGACCATTTTATAAACACTAAGAATTATTGAGAATTTTTTGCTTACATGGCTGCTGAAAACTCGAACTCGTGGAGCACTGCCTCAAAGCTGGTCATCTCAACAAAGATCTGCAAGGGAAGAGACCCAAGCTGAGCTCAGTGCCCTGAGGGGAGGCTGTGCAGGGCTCTGGATGTCTGGGGTCACACCACTGGGCTTAACTTTCAAACACCTCCCTTGAACAGAACAAAAGCAGAGCCCAAAGCCCAGAATCTCCCCCCAGGAACAAGTGGGGGCTGCCCCTGCATCCCTGGCAGTGCCCAGGCCCAGGCTGGACAAGGGCTTGGAGCAGCCTGAGACAGTGGAAGGTGTCCCTGCCATGGCAGGGCGTGGAACAAGATGAGATTTAAGGTCCCTTCCAACCCAAGCCCTTCTGATTCCAGGAACAAAACACTTGCAAGTGTTCAGCAGGAGAGGCAGAGGCAGGGCAGGCACCCTGCTCCCACATCTCCCCAGTTCCCATCAGGGACCAGGTGATGGAAGGCAGGGCTGCCACCTCCTCCATGTGGAGTGCTCTGCACCCCCAAAAAGTCTGGCTTAGGGGACAGAAGGCTCATCAAGCTGGATCATTCTTACCTGCACACAGTTCTGCATGCACTGAGGCTTTTCTTTCAGGGAGAACTTGGGCAGAAGCCTCAGGAAGTTTTTCAAGAGAAGGAAGATGGCGTTGCGGACTTGGAGAAGATCTTCTGTTGAGAAGTAAACATTCTCATCATCCTCTTCTTTCTCCTCTTCCAACGTCTCTTCCATCTGTATTGGCAGAAAAGAGAAACAGCTTGCCAACAATTTGCTTATAACTGGGGATTTGTATCTGAAGAAATTGCACAAATATCTTACACTGGAGCTGTCATTCCTGCATGGTTTCCCTTTCTTTCTGTTCCTTCTGGCATTGGGCTGAGAGCTTTGAGACTGTGCCTTCTTCCTTTTCTTCATCTCTTGAGGCCAGCATTTTGTCAGGGTGTGAAGGCATTTGTCAAACATCACTTGGTGGAACACCTGGTTGGCTATGCTGCCTGCCCAGAAAAGACAAACATCAGTCCTCTTCCAGGCAAGATACAGAGAACATCAAACCACCTGAGCATCATGTCCCACCCCTGGAAGTGCTCAGTGCCAGGCTGGAGCAACCTGGTCTAGTGGAAACTGTCCCTGCCCATGGAATGAGATGAGCTTTAAGGTTCCTCCCAGCCAAAATTAGTTTGTGGTTCTATGATCTCTCCACAGGTGCCCCAGAGCCTAAAAACGTTCAAGAGAAGAACAAAGAGCTGCCTGAAGTGCACCAGGCTGATGCATCATCAGCAGTGACACATTCCAGGAGCACCACCAGCTGAATGACCCCTTCCAGCTCAGCTGCACCCTGGACATCAGCAAAACCTCAGGGCATGCTGGAATGCAAAGGGATCCAGCTGTGAACAAACCTGCTGGAAACACTCAGCTGCTGGTCATTCTAAACTGACATTTCTGCTTGCACAATCAAACCCATCCAGATGTGCTGCATGGTGAAATGCTCCCTGCTTACAGAACAGGAATAAGCTCCTGCCTTGACTGTCAGAGCAGAGGGACCTGTGTGGTTCCAGCTCTGTGCACTCTCCTTTGTCACCTTGTCACAGGACACAGACCCGCTCTGGGGCACCAAACACCTCTGTGGCAGGGGTCCAGTGACACTGCTCAGCACTCACACCACGCTCAGCTCGTGAAACCCCTGAGGATTTCATGGCCACCAAGCCAACATCGCCACTTGTTCCACCTGGAACAGTGACAAACCCGACCCCTCCTGACCTGTGCTGTCCCCAGGCATGAAGAGGAACATTTCAGGGCTCACCTGGGATCTCCAGCAGCAGCAAGTAGAGCCCAGCTGAGTGCAGAGCAAACACCCTCTGCTGTGTGTTGGCTCTTTTGTGCTGGCCCACGTGCACAAAGTGATGCAGCACGGCCACCAGGGCCTGGTGGGACAGGCTGCTCCCAGCAAACAAGGTCCAGACATTCTGAGGCAAAACAGGAATAGTCAGGAATCCCATAATAACATGGATGTCCACAACTAGCCATTATTCATCTTTTAACAGGTGCCACCATGACCAACTCCCTGTGTGTTATCTGCTTTTAAAAGTGTTTTATTATTGTAATTATTTTATTACTGTAACTATTAATATCTATAGTATTTTAATTTTATTAATATTTATAATACATTAGTAATTAAATTAATAAATTAACATTAATAATTGTTAAAACATACTTATTATCAATAATTATAATAACACTATGTATACTAAATATAATATATAGAATATAATATATAGTAATATATAATGTATATATAATATATATAATGTATAATGTATATAATGTATATGATATATAACGTAATGATATACATAATGTATATGATATATAATGTAATGTAATGTAATGTAATATAATATAATATAATATAATGATTTAATACTGAGTTCTATTATTAAAATTTGGGAATAGCTTCCTCCTGAAGCATTCCAGCACACAGAGCAAGAATTGTTTGAATAGTTTGTGAATATTTTGCCAATTTCAAGGCAAGACGGATGTGAAAGAGAGAAAGGGAGAGTGGCTGGCTGTGCTCAGGGGATGTCACCTCTCTGCTCTCCTGGTCCCCGGCAGCAAAGGGCGCCAGAGCGCTGTACAGGCGGGTGAAGGTGTCGAGCCCATCGGCCGTGATCTCCTCCGCTACCCAGCGATCCAGAGGCTCGGTCTCCGTGAAATCCAGATCCCACACCGTGTCCACCCACACTGAGAGAAATAAAAAAATAAAAAAAAACCCAAAAAAAGTGTTTATAAGTGCCAGGGGTGAGATTTCTCCGAAACGCGTTTCACCCAAAATAAGGCTCCAAAATAAGCACGGACTGCCCAAAATCCAGCGGGACACGGGCGGGCCGAGGGCAACGCTGTCAGTGCCAGGAGCCCCCCCATGCCTGGGGTCAGCCGCACCCCCGTGACCGGGGAGAGCCACCGGAACCGGGACCGAGAGCGGGGGACCGGGACTGACACCGGAACAAAGAGACAGGGGGACCGGGACTGAAACCGGGACCAGGATAGAGACAGAGGGAACGGGACAGAGAGACAGAACGGGAGAGCGACAGAGACCGGCACCGGGACAGGGAGACCGGGACACAGACTGACACCAAGACTGGGACCGGGACAGAGACCCAGACGGAAACAGAGGCAGGACCGGGAGAGGGAACAGAAACCGAGATGGACAGCGGGACAGAGAGACAGAACGGGACAGAGACGGACAGCGGGACAGAGAGACAGAACAGGACAGAGAGACAGAACAGGACAGAGAAGGACAGCGGGACAGAGACCGGGACCGGAATAGAGACCTGGACCGGGACCGAAACCGAGACCGGAACAGACACAGAGAGACTGGGACAGAGAGCGGGACCGGGAAACAGAGAGACCGAGAGACAGAACGACCAAGACCGGAAAAGAGGTCGGGAAACTGGCCCCGGCCCCGATCCTAACCCCGGCCCCGCTCCCGGTCCTAACCCCGATCCTAATTCCAATCCCGATCCCGATCCCGCTCCCGGCCCGCACCTGCAGCCAGCTCCGGCAGCCGCCACCCGCCGAGCGCGCTCCGCAGCCGCTCCGCCGCCATCGCGCCGCCGCCGCCCGCCTTCGAACGCGCCAATGGCGAGCGCGGGGCGGCGCGGGCCAATCGCGGCGGGCGCCGCTGCCCCGGAAGGAGCGGGGCGGGCGCGGCCGGGCCGGGCCGGGGCGGAGCTGCGCGGTGCGCGGTGCGCGGTGCGCGGTGCGCGGTGCGCGGTGCGCGGTGCGCGGTGCGCGGTGCGCGGTGCGCGGTGCGCGGTGCGCGGTGCGCGGTGCGCGGTGCGCGGTGCGCGGTGCGCGGTGCGCGGTGCGCGGTGCGCGGGTCCCGCCGCCGCCGCCCCGGCAGCGCTGCCGCATTGCGGCCCCCCCGCGCCGCCGCCGCCGCTGCCGCCGCCGCCGCCGCCGCCCCGGCTCCTTCCCCGGCGTCGCCGCCGCCGCCCCGCGCAGCCCCGCCCCGGCCGCGATCCGCCAGCGGGGCCGCGGGGTCCGGCCGCGCCGGCCCGCGCCGCATCCCGGGACCATGAGCTTCTTCGGGTTCGGGCAGAGCCCGGAGCTGGAGCTGGTGCTGAGCGACGCCGAGAGCCGGCGGCGGGTGGAGCACAAGACGGAGGAAGGCAAGAAGGAGAAATACTTCCTCTTCTATGACGGCGAGACCGTGTCGGGCAGGGTGGTCCTCACCCTCAAGAACCCCAACAAGCGGCTGGAGCACCAGGGAATCAAAGTGGAGTTCATCGGGCAGATCGGTGAGCGGGGCGGCCTGCGGGCCCGGGCTCCCTTCCTGATGGCCCTCGTGGGTGCCGGGAGCAGCACTGCACCGCACGGGGATGGATCCTGCTGCTGCCGGGGTCCGGGGGGGATCACTGCATCCCACAGGTGCCAAGGGTCTGGGGAGCAGTGCTGGACCCCATGGTACTGAGATCCCTGCGGGTGCCAGGGATCCAGAGAGCATTGCTGGTGCTGAGTGTCCAGGGAGCATCACTGCATCCCATGGTAACCCGCTGGTACCGGGGCTCTGGGGGCATTGATGTGCCCCGTGGCACTGGGATCCCACTGGTACTGGGGGTATTGCTGTGCCCATGGCACTGGGATCCCACTGGTACTGGGGGTATTGCTGTGCCCATGGCACTGGGATCCCACTGGTACTGGGGGTATGGCTGTGCCCCATGGCACTGGGATCCTGCTGGTGTTGAGCAGGTTCCTCTCACTCCTGGCTGCACGCAGCATTCCCACGGCTGCTGGACATTATTCCACCCTCCGAGCTGGGCAGCCTGGCCTGTTCTCCAGGCTTGAGCCCTGGCAGAAGGAAGGGCATTCCAGTCCTTTTCCAGGTCATTGTTCTCCTGTCCTAATTTCTCTCTTCTGCTCGGTCACCAGTTTCAGCTCCGAGCTGGGCGTGCTTTGGTTCCGTCCTGCAGCTGCAGGTCAGCCCAGACCTGCTGCCCAGGCTGGCTGTTCCTGCTCCAGGAGCTACCTGCCCGCTTCCCTCGTGTGCCTGCGGATCCTCTTAGGGATGCTGAGGGTGCTGATGGGGTGGGTTTTGTCCTTACATCCCTTTAACCTGCGTGGATCCACTTTCCTGAGGCTTGCAGGCTCACCTTGGCTGATCCCACCTTCTCCTCCACACACCCCTGCACGGTTGGTTGGGTGACTTCAAGTTGTTCAAAACTTGTGGTTATCTGTGCGTGTAAGCAATTCAGGTTTAATATTTCCTGCTTTCGAAGGGGAAAGGCAGCTGCCACACCCACTCCTCCATCGGAGCAGAGCTGTCCTTGCTCCACAGATATGCCTCGAGCCCCACAAGCCAAAATAACTTCAGGATGTTCCTTCCCATGGCTGCGTGCGGGGCCTCACATCTGTGGCTCTCTGTGCTTGGCTCTAAACCCCAAAATCACTGCTGGAGCCAAGGGCCTGCAGCCTTTGCATTGCAAATTGTGTGGTGAGGGAACATGAGCAGATTTCCCACCCAGCCCCATGCTGCTGTTTGAGTTTTATTGGCTTTGCTTGTGCCTGACTCTGGATTTTGGAAGGGAAGGGATGATGATTTGTAAATGATGGAGTGTAGGTGAGGCTGTTCACCAGGAGCCAGGGTATGAGCTCCTATTGATACGGTTCCCAGTGGAAGTTAAGCATGAACTTTGTTTCCTGCTCCACTGTCTCTGCTGTGCTGCCTTGCCTGCAGCTCATTCCCTGTTCTGGAAGACTTTTGAGCCATGCCTGCCTGGGATTACTGCTTTGTATGCACATTATTGCCCAAGCAGGGTGTGTTACAGCTGCTGTGGCTGCACGTCAGTCCTTATGCCCCTCAGGCCTTTTTGATAAATCACTGAAGTTTGTTCCACTAATTGCACTTCTCAATGCTTTCCATCTTGTATTCTGACTTCTTGCTGCCACAAGGGCAGCGTGGAGGTGAGGCAGTTTAACAGGCAGGGGGACTGGGATGTGAAGGAGGGATGTTTTGCAGGGAAGACGCTCCAGAGCAGGTACCAAAGGCCAGACTGTGAGTGCTGGGTCCTGCCTGCTCTCAAGTCAGCCCAGAACCCATTCCAGATGGTTTCACTTCTGGTGGCTGTGGCCTGAGCAAGCCACTGAAATGTTGGCAGGTTATTTTCTCTGGAAGTCTGGAAACCTTATAGCTCTGAAAACCTGAAATTACAGCTTATACCTGTTTGACAGGCTGGAGTGTGGGAAACATCACTCTGCTAAAGGCTGCAGGGTGCCAAACATGACCTTCTGAGGTAGCACAGAACTCAGTGCACTGACATCTGCCTCCCCTTGCTTTTCTGATTTGTGCCTTCTGCATCGTGTGTCACGATGGTCTGGGCTGATTCCTCCATTTCTGTGGCTGGTTCCTCTTTTTTCTCTTGGCACGTGGCTTCTCCCTGTCACATCAGCAAGCACTTTCCTCTCAGTGGACACACAAATTCAGTGCACAGAGAGAGGCTGGGTTATTTATGTCACCTGCCCAGCCTAAAGGGCTTGGTGACATTTGCTGTTGTGCGTAAGTGAGGGGAGCTCTAGTGCCAAAATTTCCATTAGAGAGATAAGGTGAGCAAAGGGCTGTGAGGAACAGACATCACTTAAAAGCTGAAATCTCATTGTGCATCTCAAGGAGGGCTGAACTGCAGTTCCTGAGCACCTCTGATACCTCTCAGAAGCCTCCTCTGCACAGTTTAGTGCTGACACTGAGCTTGTGTGAGTGTGATTGTGTGATGACTTAGGTTTTTGTTTCCTCATGTAAGCAGAAAGGCTTTGCCTTGCAGAAGGACTGTGTGGGTGTGCTGTAGGCACAGGCTCACACACAGGGCTGGGAAGGGCAGGTTTCATTGATGGGTTTGGGTAATCCCAAGCTGTTCATGCAAATTGCAGAGATTGAAGGGTTTTGTTGCTTTGTCTTGAGGCTGAAAACTCAGTGGAGGTGTGGAGGATTGCTTTCATTAAATGAGGAAAGCTGTAGCTGTAGAGGGTTGTGGGGAAGAGCGAGGCAGTGCTGGTCACTTGAGCTGGTTTGAGCAGTGCTTCCAGAGGTGAGAGCTCTTCCCTCAGCATGCTCACATGGCCAGGAATGTGTTACCCATGGGCTGGAGGGTTCAGCTGCCTCCCCACACACTGGCTGCTTGTGCAGCAGGATCAACATTGTCATTTATTCCCTGCTGCAGCTCAAGGCCGCTCAGGCTCTTTGCTGCCCAAGGATAAGCAGGAGCAGTTGGAATCATCGTGTCCCCTTGGTTTTGCTCTGTCACTGGCTGTTCCAGACAAGCAGTGGGGGCTTTTCCTCACAGGGGCAATGCCTTTGGCCTGGAATACAGTGCAGAAGATTATGGGAAGGGTTTGCATGAGCTACAAATATTTAATATTGACAATAGGCGACTCGTGCCTCCCCAAGGCAAGTTCTTGATTAATTGTAGTAAAGGAGATTGTGTGGACCTTTTCCTTCCTGTTTCAGGGAGGAAAGCTGTGGCCTGCACCTGGCTCTGATGGAGAGCAGGGAACAAGTGCAGCTCCCCTGGTAGGTTCTGTGAATGGTGTTGAAGGAAGGAGTGACCTGGACAAGAGAGTTGCTGAAAATCTCCTGTGTCATGTGGGGTTCAGCTTAACCTGGATTTCCATTTTCTAGAGCTCTACTATGACCGAGGGAACCACCACGAGTTCGTGTCCCTGGTGAAGGACCTGGCCCGGCCTGGGGAGTTCACTCAATCACAAACGTTTGACTTTGAGTTCACACATGTGGAGAAACCTTACGAGTCCTACACGGGGCAGAATGTGAAGCTAAGGTGAGTCCCCTGCTCTGGCTGAGCCCAGTTCTGCTCTCTGTGAGTGCTGATACTCCCTCTGATGATGCAGAACTCCAAATTAATTTTAGTGCCTGAGTTGTAAAAAGGCTGCCTTTGAGGTCTTTATTTTACAAGCATGCATCAGGCTCTTTATGGAACTTGTTTTTCCCCTTTGAGTGACAAGAGAAATCAGCCCCTTTTGAATCAAATACTTGCTAATTTATTTGATAATTCAAAAATTCAAAATAAACTGTTTGGTTTAGTCTCCAGTGGGGATATTTTTGCTGTAATCAGTCTTGTCAACTTTAATTGTGCTCTGTATGCAAACAGATGCTTTGCTGGTGCCTTGTTCATATGTTAGAAATGATATTTCACATCAAGGCACTCAATCGACTCAAAATCCTTTCACTGCCTTCAAAGTGGGGGTTGGAAAAGTCTGAGATGTGCACTGGGAGGTGTGGCTGTGCAGCCTGATGTAATCTTGCAAAAGGGCCGTGGTTTGAACATGTGCAGGCTGTTCCTCAGAGCCCCAAAACGGGGCTTAGGTAACTCAGGCTCGCAAATGCTTGGGAGCTGAGAGGATTCTGCTTTTCCATCTGAAAATTCCCTTCTGAATCTGAAAATTCCCTTCTGCCTTTTCCAGTGTGGGGTGTTGGCTGCTCCAGGGGCAGGTACATGTAAAGAGCTGGGGGCTCTTTTACTGTGAGTTTATTTTGTTCAGACCTGGGCTAAAAGGGCAATGGAACAGCAAATGACATGGGAAGAGGAGCTTCCTTGCTCTTCTGCTTCCTTGTGGCAATTCTTTGGTTTCCTGCTTATTTCATCCCTTTGGACATTTCCCATTCCCTGCTCTTGAAATGCTGGCCCTCCTCTCAGCTGTGCATGAGCTGAGCTGAGCACCTCACCTTGCCGAGGAGAAAGCTCCAAGCTTCAGTGGGAAAAAGGAACTTTCTCAGTGGATCTGCTGAGTTGATGACACGTTTTATTTAGATTTGCATTGAAATGCATTTCAGCTCTTTACATGGATCTGTGTCCTAAGGATAGTGCAGCCCAAGCCCCGCTGGGGCTGTCCCTGCTGTGACCCTGGTGGGAAGGGACTGTCTGTGGTGCTGTTCACAGGACAAGGGAAGAGATGAGAATCTTGATTCCAGGTTTCAGAAGGCTGATTTATTATTTTACGATATATATGATATTAAAAGAAAATGATATATTAAAACTACACTAAAGAAAGAGAAAGGATTTATTATTTTATGGTATGTATTGTATTAAAAGAAAATAATATATTAAAACTACACTAAAGGAAAGATTTATTATTTTATGATATATATTATATTAAAAGAAAATGATATATTAAAACTACACTAAAGAAAGAGAAAGGATTTCATCAGAAGGCTAGCAAAGAAAGGAATGGAATGATAAAATCTTGTGACTGACCAGAGTCTGAGACAGCTGGACTGTGATTGGCCATTAATTAGAAACAACCACATGAGCCCAATCCCAGATGCACCTGTTGCATTCCACAGCAGCAGATAACCATTGTTTGCATTTTGTTCCTGAGGCCTCTCAGCTTCTCAGGAGAAAAGATCCTAAGGAAAGGATTTTTCATGAGCTATGTCCATGACAACTGTCCCTGCAGGTATTTCCTCCGTGCCACCGTGAGCCGCAGGCTGAACGATGTGGTGAAGGAGATGGACATCGTTGTGCACACTCTGAGCACCTACCCCGAGCTCAACTCCTCCATCAAGATGGAAGTGGGCATTGAGGACTGCCTGCACATCGAGTTCGAGTACAACAAGTCCAAGTGAGTGGCTCAGGCCCCACCTGCTGGGGTTTCCTCAAAGGAATTCCATGTTCATGTGATTTATTGAAAAAAATATGGATATTGATCTAGCACTGATATCCAACTGTGAGGGACAAAAACTCTCAAACAGTTTAGAGTTAGAAAGTGTTTGTTTATTGTGGGATAGCTCCCAAATACACACTGCAATTTACAGGTGATTACAGAGCCCTTTTATCTGTACAGGTATTGAATACCCAAAATACAAATGCATGTTCATAACTTTGGTACATCACATTCCCCGCTCTGTATGGTAATTAGATCAAAAGTCATTAAGCATGGTAATTAGTTCAAAAGCCATTAGGCATGTGTAGTTTGTTCCTTGAAATGGGTCAGTGGTGCCTTTCATGGGGAGGGGTCCCAAAATGAGGAAGTAAATGGAGTCTTCCTTGTTCTGGCCTTGCTGCCTTTTAAATGCAAATCTGACAAATGAACCCTTGGTAGAACTCCCATTCCCCATCTTCACTTGGTTTCAGAACAGAGGAGGCCACAATTGTCTTATGTTCCTAAAAGCCATTTATCAGTTTCTATATTCTTCATTATAAACCCAGCTAACCCAGCATTGTGTTGCCAAGCAATCAGTTATTAGTTAACTGCTAACTCTTAACTTCATCAAGGTTGATTTTAATTAACTCCAATAAAGCTTATCTCTAACTAAAATCTTAGCTCCTCTAAAATCCCTAAATTCCTCAAAGTTTGTGTCTCACACGTGCTCCAGACAGGCTGGAGGCAGCTCAGATCCTCCCTGCTCCATGGGTTCCTCTCCTTTTCTCATATTTCTGGGTCAGGGAGTGGGAAGCAATGGCTGTGGCTCACTGAGCCTGGAGCACAGCATGAAATTCTTGCTGTAGCTTCCCACTCCCTGTATCCAGATCAGTACTTCCAGGTGCCTCCAAAAGGCAATGGTTGCTCCTTTCCAGGCAATACAGCTGAAGTAGAAATTAACTCTAGCAAAGAAGTTAGGAAGAGCTCTTTTAAACTACCCTTAGTGCATCCTTCCCAGCTGGTGCTGGCAAATCTCCCTGCAAGTGGTGGCTGGACTCAATGATCTCAGAGGTCTTTTCCAACCTAAATGATTCAGTGATATGGGTTGGTTTTAATTGAGGTAAAATACTGATTTTGGAGCCTTTGCTCTTATAGGGGTTTCTTGCAGATATTCAGCCTGAAGCAAAGTATTTAATTTATATGCTGGTGCTAAATGTTCTTGTGGGTTTCCAAAAGAGCAGAGGATGGAAATAAAGGGCTGGTTGCTGGTGGGGGTGGTTGGTTTGCCATCTGCTGGGGATGAGAGCAAAGTGCCTGCCCAGCAAGTTCCTGCACGTCAGCCTGAGCCCTGCTCTGCTGATCTCACAGGCTTTGATCCTGGTGTTTCCTCCCCTCTCATGCCAGGTACCATCTAAAAGATGTGATTGTGGGGAAGATCTACTTCCTGCTGGTGCGGATCAAGATCAAGCACATGGAGATTGACATCATCAAGAGGGAGACAACGGGCACGGGGCCCAACGTGTACCACGAGAACGACACCATAGCCAAGTACGAGATCATGGATGGGGCACCTGTGAGAGGTGAGAGGGCACAGCAACCCCCAGCACTGCTCTCCTGGAGGATTCTGGGGTGGGAATATGACTCTTGAAGTATGTTCTGTGTGCTCAGCATCCCGTTCTACTGTTGTGGGTTCAGAGCAGGGGATTGATCTGATCCCCTTCCCTCTCCAGTGTGATGAGGGGTGACTAAGACAGGATCATAATTCTTTCTGATGGAGCAGTGGCAGAACCAGCTATAAACTCACAGTTGGCATGGGCCAGCAGCTGGCATTGCTGCAGCTCAAAGCAGAGGTGGTGTTGTCCTTGCTCTGTGCCAATCTCCTGTGCCAGTGTTCCTTTGCCCAGCAGAGTCACCTGCTAGAGAAAATGTCACCTTACTCATTTTTTCCTGCAGTGCTGTCTTGATGCAGGTCCCAAAAGAGTCCTGTGCTGTTAGAGTGGAGCTGGAATAGCTGTCAGCAAGGGCAGGATCTGGCTGAGCACCGTGCATGCTGGTTTCTGGAGGGAGTTGAGGTCTTCTAGCTCATGTTAGTCCACTTGTGGAAGCGGTGACAAAGGTTGTGGCCGTGTGAGTTTGTGTTTTGCTGCTGCTCTCCTGGTTTCTCTCTGCATCCTGTCTGTGCTGAGAGCTCTGTGCCCTTTCCAGGGGAGTCCATTCCCATCAGGCTCTTTCTGGCTGGCTATGAGCTGACTCCAACCATGAGGGACATCAACAAGAAGTTCTCTGTGCGTTATTACCTCAACCTGGTGCTGATTGATGAGGAGGAGAGGCGCTACTTCAAACAGCAGGTGAGAACCAGAGCTGCTGTTCTCTTTGGACCCATGCATGGTGATGGGGACGCTTTTACAAGGACCTGCTGGGAATTTGGGATTCAGCAAGTGGAAAGATAGTCTAGAAGAATTCCATTTTGGGATTCATCACATGGAAAGATGATCTAGAAGAATGTCCATGCAGGTCAGATGTGTGTGGTGGTGAGGAGGAGTCTGCAAAGTGCCTGCCTGGGATATCTTTTCTGCTCTGTGGTGGAGCTTCTGTGCTTCACCTTAGCAGTGGCACTAGGACAGAGGAGCTGTGGATGTCCTCTGTGTGCCCAGACCCAGGGAGGAGCTTCCTACCCGAATTTCAGGCAGGCTGCACTGCCAGGTGGATCCTGGCTGTGGGTGGGACACTGAGCCTGGTTCAGCCTGGGGGGCTGGGTGGGGCAGCAGAAGGGTCTCAGCAGAAGGTCTCAGCAGAAGGGTCTCAGCAGAAGGTCCTAGCAGAGGGTCTCTCTCAGCAGAAGGTCTCAGCAGAAGGTCCTAGCAGAGGGTCTCTCTCAGCAGAAGGTCTCAGCAGAAGGTCTCAGCAGAGGGTCTCTCTCAGTAGAAGGTCCTAGCAGAAGGTCTCAGCAGAGGGTCCTAGCAGAAGGTCTCAGCAGAAGGTCCCTCTCAGCAGAGGGTCTCAGCAGAAGGTCTCAGCAGAGGGTCCTAGCAGAAGGTCCTAGCAGAAGGTCTCTCTCAGCAGAAGGTCTCAGCAGAGGGTCCCAGCAGAGGGTCTCTCTCAGCAGAAGGTCCTAGCAGAAGGTCTCAGTAGAAGGTCTCAGTAGAAGGTCCCTCTCAGCAGAGGGTCCTAGCAGAAGGTCTCTCTCAGCAGAAGGTCCCAGCAGAAGGTCTCTCTCAGCAGAAGGTCCCAGCAGAAGGTCTCAGGAGCCCTGACAAGCCTTTGCTGTGTCCCTGCAGGAGGTGGTGCTGTGGAGGAAAGGGGACATCGTGAGGAAGAGCATGTCCCACCAGGCGGCCATCGCATCGCAGCGCTTCGAGGGCAGCTCCTCGCACGGCGAGGCCAAGGCCCCCGGGCAGCCCGCGGACAACAACGGCCGCCAGTGAGGCCGGGGGGCGCCGGGACCCCCCAGCACCGCGGGGCACCAGGGACCTCACCGAGTAAACCCGGATTGGACTGCATTCCTTCCTTCCTTCGGAGGGCTGGCGGGGTGGGACGGGGCGGGAGGGCTCGGCCAGCTGCAGCGGAGGCACCGTGGCACTGCCCAGTCCATCCATTCCTTGGGGGCCGTGGCTGCTTGGAGGCCATGCCCGAGCTCCTGATCTCCTCCTGGTCTCCTCTGTGTCCCGAGAGCTCCCAGGGGCTGTGGGGAAGGAGAGAGCGAGGGGAGGCCCAGGCTGCCGTGTGCAGGGTGCTTTGGGCTGTGCAGGATGGATGTTTGCCTTGCCTTTTGGAAATCTTGCCTGGTGATGAGCTGGATGGAGGTCCCAGCAGAAGGAGCTAGAGGAGGGATCAGAGACTGGTGTGACCTGCTGGAAACCTTGTGGTGTCATCCCCTCGCTGCTTCCCCTTCTTCCTCTTCGTGCTGGCGTTGGATTCCTTGCCTCAAGCAGCTGGATGCTGGAGGTGACTCAGCCCTGGGACTGCCACCCAGCCACGTGGAGCACGGGCTGTGTCCCACCAGGAGCTGGGGCTGGTAGGAGGGAGTGAGATGTGGCTGCAGGAGGAGGTGCCATGGCGTGGGCAGAGCGGTGACGGTCCCAGTGCTCATGGGTGGGCAACAAAATGGGGCCAGGAAGGCTCCTGGCCACGAGCTGTGCCTTCCTTCTCTTGTCCTGAGATCCACACTCGGCTGCTGCTCTCGTGCAGGTGCTGCTGCAGGGAGGTGTGGAGAGCAGCTCTGGAGCTCCTGGGGGCTCTCCTGTGGGTGGGTTTGTGCTGCCCATGCTGCCCTGCCTGTGTCTGTGTCCTGGGGACAGGGCAGGCTGTGTGTGGGGATGGACAGCAGTGTGGGGACGCGTGCATGCGGTCTGGTTTGCTGAGGTTTGCTGCCTCGTGCCTGCAGGATGAGGGTTAGCGGGGACAGAAGGGGGATGCAGTTGTTGTGGGGGGCTCAAACAGGCCAGTGTGGGCTGCTGGAAGGAGCCAAGCAGCACCTGGAAGGGTGGCAGAGCTCTGATTCCAGAGACACATTCCTGAGGCCTGAGCTGAAGTCACCAGCGAGGTCTGAGAGCATGCAGTGAGCTGAGAACCTGAATGTGGGTTTTCTTTTTTTTTTAAATAAGCTGCTTTTAGCCTTCAGCTAAGTAGACTCATGAGCACATTCCCAGAAGGAAGTCACTCCTCCATTAAAAATCAGATGTGGCTTTGTAGACTTGATTGACTGAGTTTGGAGGATGTCCCTCCTGTTCAAGCAGGTGGTGACACCTCCTACCCCAGGGAGAGACCAGCCTGCACCAAGTGCTGGGATATGAGCTCTGTCAAGTGGGATTTGTCTGGATTTCCCTGAATTTGTGGCTTGTTAGTTTGTCCAGCTTCCTTTTGGCTCTGGAATCAAGTTCCTCTGTCCTACAGCTGAGTGTGGAGCGGGTGTCTGGGCAATGGAAGTGTCTGCTGTGTTCAGTGGAACGGTGCTGGTGGAGGGAGTGGGGCTGGGGTGGGAAGGGGGAGCTTTTTCTGTAATGACAGCTACTGTATTTCAGTGATAAATGTGTGTTTCTGCTTGCCAAAGTCAGTTATCTTTTCCTCACCACGTGTAAGGTTGTGGTTTGTAGTAGAGCTGGCCAGTCTCGCTCTGTAGAGGACACTGATGCTCTCCTCTCTGCTCAGTGCTTGTGTCACCCCCTGGTTCTGCTGTGCCCCACTGAGGACCTGGCTTGCTTGTCCCCCCACGGGGAGTCTGTGCCATGGGCTGGGCCCTGCCTTCCCAAGGCTGGGGCAAAACCTCCCTGCAAACAACAATCAGCCTGCTGTGCCAGGGCAGGGCTGGGCACCTCTGCCATGGCAGGGACCCTGGGTGGCACTTGGGACACTCCTCCCTCCCTCCCTCCTTCCCTGGGGGGAACTGGCTGTGCTGCAGCCAGGCACAATCCTTGAGGGACAAGTGAGGCTCCTTTGGGAGCTCTTGGGGATAGCAAAGTGTTCTAAGGGGAACTGAGCACAGCAGTGCCCTTACAATCTTCTTCAGCTTTCCTTCAGCTCCCTCCTTGCCTTTATTCCTTTATTCCTTTATTCCTTTATTCCTTTATTCCTTTATTCCTTTATTCCTTTATTCCTTTATTCCTTTTTTCCTTTATTCCTTTATTCCTTTATTCCTTTATTCCTTTTTTCCTTTATTCCTTTTTTCCTTTATTCCTTTATTCCTTTATTCCTTTTTTCCTTTTTTCCTTTATTCCTTTACTCCTTTATTCCTTTATTCCCCTGGATTGTAGGCCATGTAGAAGGAAAGAAACCCCCTGGATGGAGATGTCTCTGCATTCCAGGAGTGGTTTTTTCCTGCCTGACTGGGTGTGAGATCATTGCCTGGCTCTAAGGAGGTGGCTGTTCAACATCTGCTCATCCCTCCTGGAGGGTTCCTTTGGAAAAGGTGCATGAGCCTGTGCATTGATTGAGCCTGTACATTGATTGAGCCTGTACATTGATTGAGCCTGTACATTGATTGAGCCTATACGTTGATTGAGCCTATACATTCAGTTGGGGGATTTTTTCCTACCCCATGTCCCTGTGTGTGGAACCAGGATTCAGAAGTGACCCCCGTTTTTACTGAATCTGAAGGACCATTTCCAGCCTGTTAGCACTGGGCCCTGTGTTTGTGTGGGGTGGAGCAGATGTGCTGAGCATCCTTCGAGAGAAGCTGGGCTCACTGCAGGACAAGGCACTCCAGAGCAGTGTTCTGTTAGCATGTCCAGGGGCACTCCTGTCCCCCTGAGCTGGTGGTTCTGTGCTGTACTTGGCTCATTCCCTCCCTCCCAGGCTGATGGGAGTGGGCAAGTACCAAACCAAGCAGTGCAAGTTGTAATTAAGCCTCTGCTGTGTTTACATGTTTCTTAATTCGTCGTCTTTTCAATGGCTGTATTTTAAAACTTGGGTTTTTTTGTCTCTCCAATTAAAAAGAGCCAGCCCTGGCTGTCAAATGCTGTGCATGAGTTTGTCTGATGTTTTGTATTGGGTTGGGTTGGGGTTTTTTTCTGTGGTATGGAGAGATTTTTCTTTAAAAGTGCCACAGTGTGCAGCTCTCAAACATGCTGGAGGAGTTTGTCCTTTGTTATCTTTATAAATCCTTGGTCTTTCTTTAAGCTGTGTCACTGCTTGGCAGCTGTGCTGGTGGAGGACCCATGTGGCTTAAAAATTAGCAGGCTGGCTTTATTTTCTTCCATTTCCCTGATGTCAGAACTAAAATAACGTGGGAACTTTTGTACCTGCAGGAAGTTCACTGTGATCTGCTTTGTGTATCCATCTCCAGAGAGACTGTTTACAACAGCATGCACTGACAGGAGGAGGGGGAAAGGCTTCAAACTGACAGAAAATAGTTTAGATGGGATGCTGGGGAGAAATTCCTCCTGATTGTGTGGCTGCCACATCCCTGGAAGTGTCCAAAGCCAGGCTGGACAGAGCTTGGAGCACCCTGGGATAGTGGAAAATGTCCCTGCCCAAGGTAAGGGGTGGAATGAGATGATTTTAAGGCCTCTTCCAGCCCAGGCTATTCAATGACTCGAAATTTTCTGGTTCTAGACAGAACTCAGGGATTCCTTCCTGCAGAAAAATGTCCCTCTGCAGTACATGGAGCTGCACTAGACCCCAAACTAAACAAAGAAGATGTACCTGTTTCTTCCTCATGAGATGAATTGCAGATTTTCCTACTACTTAAACCCAAGTAGCTGCAGTTGATTCCAAAAGGCTTTATTTATTGAAAAAATAAGCAAAAATAACAGTGTGTCAAGGGAAGGGACGTGTGGCTGCAGGTCTTGTGGTGGCATGTTCATGGTGCTGTGCTTGAGCAGGTGAACTGGAGAGTTGTGCTGGTGGAGGAGGAGGAGGCATCAGCGGGCTGGGTGGGAGCTGTGCTGCTTTAATGTGGCTTTTCCTCTTCCAGGCTCAAGACAAAATCAAATTCCTCTGTGGTAAGGAAGGAAAAACCATAAATGGAACTTGCAGCTTGCCTGACCGAGGGAATGAAGAGTCCTGGGAGGTTCTCACCTTGTGTCAGGGGCTGGATGGACAGACGCTGCCTGCTGAAGAGCATCATGTCCTTGAGGGGGCCCCCGTCTGCCTTGTGTGCCAGGTGGTGAGCCTTGATCTCAGCCAGGGGGATGAAGCGCTTGGTCATCCTCACAAACTGCACATCCACCTGCAAGGGAGGGCAGCACAGCTTGGACAGGCACACAGCCTCCACAGCCCATAGAAGATTGGAGGGGTAAAGATTTGGAGCTGTAGGGAGTGACTGATGTGCACTGACTTTGCCTTGCTGAAGGCTGCCCAGTATTTGTGGCAGGTGTTTTGTTGGCAATGTGCAGCAGCAAGTCACAGACAGTGCAAAGTTCAGATGTGGGATGGAGGCAGCCCATGAACACTCTACATGAACACCCTACAATCTAATGTGCCTCAAAACTGCAGCTTTGCTTGCTGTGCACTGACAGTGGCTCTTAGTTCATTTTTCTCACTCAGGGTTCTGCAGGTGATGTTGTTGGCACAGTGCAGCAGCAAGTCACAGACAGTGCAAAGTTCAGATGTGGGATGGAGGCAGCCCATGAACACTCCCTTCCCTACAATCTAATGTGCCTCAAAACTGCAGCTTTGCTCACTGTGCACTGACAGTGGCTCTTAGCTCATTTCTCTAACTCAGGGTTCTGCAGGTGATGATGTTGGCACAGTGCAGCAGCAAGTCACAAACAATGCAAAATTCAGATGTGGGATGTAGGCAGCCCATGAACACCCTACATGAGCACCCTACAATCTAATGTGCCTCAAAACTGCAGCTTTGCTCACTGTGCACTGACAGTGGCTCTTAGCTCATTTTCCTAACTCAGGGTTCTGCAGGTGATGTTGTTGGCACAGTGCAGCAGCAAGGTGCATTCATGTCACAGACAATGCAAAATTCAGATGTGACACTCCCTTCCCTACAATCTAATGTGCCTCAAAACTGCAGCTTTGCTCGCTGTGCACTGACAGTGGCTCTTAGCTCATTTTTCTAACTCAGGGTTCTGCCATGTGTGGAGGCCAACTCTGCAGCCAAGATATGAAAATTTAGGGAGATGTATTTTGGCAGCCTCCTGGAAGGGATTGGGGAAAAAGCAGAGAAAATAGGATTGAATTTTCTCTTGAGAGAGAAAAAGGCAGCTAGGCCAGGACAGAAGCTTAAGATTTTTAATATGATGCAAAGAGGCTTCTCCCTTCTCTTGGCTTGCACACAGGGCTGTATTTAATGGAATACATTACCATGGACCATTTGGGGTTCTCTTTTCTGCTGGTGGAGTCATAATGAGGATCCTTCTGATCAAACTGTGTGTGATCAGGGTACGCCTCCTTCACAATCTGAAGCAGAAGGGGAGAGGAAAGTTTCCATCAGTTCAAAACACCTGCCAGCAAAGGGCATGAGATGTGACAGAGAGTAATCCTGGTGAAAAATCAGCCTTGCTTTCCCTGAACTCCATTCTAACAGTTTCCTTTACATTTCTTGGGTGGAAGAAGTGCAGAACAGTGAGTGCAGCATCACCTGCTGGAGATCAGTGTGGAAGGAAATGCAGCAGAGGAAAACTGGGTAGCTGCTGCTGATCTTTGTGATGAATTCTGCTCTTAAAGAAAAAGCTGCTCTGTGCCCTGGTTTCAGTCTACTGCCTTGTGGGCTCTGCTGACTAGAATGGAGTGAGTCAGACTGGAATCAGAGTGTGGAACAGCACTTGGCTTGGCTGGGAGTGCCCCGAAATGTCAGCAGGAAAACAGCACAGCGTGGTTCCATCTCTCTGGGGACACACGGCTGAGTCAGCCCTGTAGTGCTGAGCTGAGGTGTCCTGGGCTCACTCCCTGCTCTCACTGGACAACTCCTGCACTCTTTGGTGCTGAGACACAAGCAGTGAGCTGCTTGATAATCCATTCCTTATCGCTTCTCCCCAAAACAGAGACACTCACCTTGACAAGGGCCACAATGCCAGGCTCTTTGCAGTTACTGTGGTAGAAGAAGGCCTGCTGCCCAAGTTTCATGGATCTCAGGAAATTCCTTGCCTGTCAGGAGTAAACAAGAGACTTTCAGCTCTTTCCATCAAGCTCTCAGGGCTTCATTAGAAGCAGCCAAGAGCAGGAACCAACAAGAGGAGAGGTAGATGTGCTTCAGAATTACTCAGATAATGTTTCCTACAGTTGTCATAGAGATGGTTTTGTGTTGGAATTAAATAAAGTCAAAACAAGGCTGAAGAGCAAGCTCCTGTTGGTCAGAAAGTGTGTGGGAATTCAACAGCTCAGCCACCCTTGCCCAGGAAAGCTGTCAGCAAACAATTCAGAGCAGATCATGTGTAGGGGAACAGGGAATCCTGTACAGCACAGGCATCATACACAGCAGGGGAACACACGTGGAATTCTTTTGGAACAGAAAGCTGTGCACTGACAGAGGATTTGGGTAAGTACAGACTTGCTGTGAGGTATCAAAGGTTGGTCTAAGTGAAAGAAAAACTGGGTGATTTGACAGAATATTCACCAGCCTGAATCTACCTCTGACCTTGAGGCCACTAAGCAAGAGTTGATTCAGGTCCCTGTCAAAATGCACCTGCATGAACAGGCAGAGTGCCCCAAGAGGAAATGCTTCAGGCACAGGAACAAGCTGTGGGCAGAGCCACCTTCTTCTACTGCTATTTCAGTGCCCCCATGTGCTTCTTACCTGGTAGTTCCTTACTCCATCCCAGCAGGTTGTCTGATTAGGCTGAGCTTTCAAGTCGTCAACGCTGAACTGCCAAATGAAATGAAAATAAACATTCATTCAGGAGCATTCTGATCTTTACAGTGTCATTGTCTGCACTGAGCCTAAGCGTTTGTTGCTAGCAGCTCCTTCAATTATAGCACAAACCTGACACAATTTTTATCTCCCACAGGGCCTACAGAAAAACCTCTACAAAGCAGCAGTGAAAAGGCAGAGTCTGAAATAGATGCTGCTCCTGTGACCAGCAGCCAAGCATCCTGAGGAGCTGATTTCCTCTTGTATTACATGTATGAAACCCCAAGGTTGTCACCTTGGACAAGAACATTTTGTTTTTCTGTTTCCAGGAGGACAAATGGGTTTGGAGAGGATAAAACAACCTGAGTTGCCTGATGTTGTCCCTCAGCATCTGGGACTGAAGGTGGGCAGGAGTGGCCCTGCTGCTGTCCTTTGCTGAGTGACTGAGTGAGGGGGTGCCAGTGCTCACCTTCACATCCACCCCCTTCTCCAGCCTGCTCTCAGGTTCTGATTTCAGCAGCCAGTGACAATATGTGATCTTGCTTTCCTCCCCACCGGACTCTGATTCTTTTTTCTTCCAGTTCTTCCATCCTGACTTGGAGCTCCCAGCTGGAGGTTTTGCAGACTTCTCTTCTTCCTCCTTATCCGAGGTCTCCTTCTCGGTTTTGGCAATTTTAGCATCAGGCTCTTTTTTATCTTAAAAGACATTGAGATAAAACACATTTTGTTTCAAAAAATATTTTTAGTTGTCCAAGCTGGTTTCACACATTTGACTGCAGCAGGAGTTTGGGGCACCCCAGGTGCTCAGGGTAAGGTAGCAGCATTATGCACCAATGATTCTGAGTATTTCTAATTTGCATCTGAAATAAGGAGATTTTTTTGGGTCTGCAAAAATGTAGTTTAATACTCACAGTTAGTAATAAAAAGACCTCAGGATAGAGCATGTTTGCCCACATGAAGTGTAGTTGAATTTTTTAAATTAATTGCTGAGAAATCAGCTCCAGGCAACAAAGCAGACTTAGGTGAATCTGGTAAGAGGAACATTCACCAAGCAAACCAAACTATTTCAATTCCTGCAGGAGCTGGAAATCTTAGCTTAACCTCCACTGAACTACCTGTTCAGAAGGGATCCTTTGTTTCTTCAGGACACAGACAAAAAGGCCCAGTTATTAAGAAGTGATTAAAGGATAAAAATGTGGTTATTTGCTGGAGTGGAT